TGCAGACCTAGGCTCATATTTACTATCTGCCTCCTATTCTGCTCTTGGGATGGTGGGGAGGGGGACTGGAAGGAATTATATAAAGTATGATTGAAAAATACTGGTTTAGGTAACTGGATTCTATAAGCAGTAAAATATTAGCTACTTTACTTTGTCTATACAAATTGCTCAAAGTAAAGCTAATGATGGCCTGTTTTGGTTTCATACCAAACAAATGCTGAAACTCAAAAAACCGTTATATTATTGAACCACAGAAATTTTCTGTTCTAATCTTTCAGTTCTCAAGCACACCATTATTTTGCAATAGAGGGCCTTGGATAGCTTGGAAGTTATGAAGTCATTAACAAATTGCTGGTTTGAATTTAGAACAGGTTACTATCATCTAAAATAATAGCTCTTCAGTATGTTTGTGAAATTTGAGGGGTAATTAACCTATTTGTAGCATCTTATGAAGCTGGCTGTCGCCTATGAAAACTTATGCCTCTGACCAAGTTAGTTTCCTCCTGCGCTACCTTCTTGTAAAATATGTTGGTGGGATGGGTCAATTCTCAGTGAACTAGTATTCACCTCAGTAATGCCATATTTTGCAGCTATCTGGTTGATCTAATAGAAGCTATTATAGAATCATAGAAAGTTAGGGTTGGAAGGGACCTCAGGAAGTGATCTAGTCCAACCCCCTGTTCAAAGCCTCTGCCATAAGACTTCCGAATGATTAGCATTTGGCACGCTTGTTGACAGTTGAAGATGTCCTTGGTACACAAACTTTTCTTTCACCCTTAAGCTTTCCCATCAAGGTCCTAAGCTAAAACATGTTAATAGGACGACAGGGAATTCTGCACAGCCACTAGCCATTCCATACCAATCCTGTGAATAAGGATATTCATTTTCCAGGGCTGTCAGTCTGACATATCTGAATAAGAATGACAGTCACTACAATGTTGCTGTGTTGGGAATTGGTAAGGGAAGTGACAGAACTGCATTAAATTGTTCCACCTGCTCCTTGTTTATCATACAAGTTTACAAAGTAAAACATTACATATAGTTAGGGTAACAGTAGACATCAGCAAGATGTCATTGCAGTTTCAGTAATACCCCAGCTGGTTGCACTAAATGGCTTGTGACTAAAGAGAACTTCACCCTTACGCATTGGTTCTGAAAACAAAACTCCGGTTTCTCAGAAATATCTATTTGTAAATTCTCATTAACATTTTTCATCCAATTTGTTCAGAGTTTAGGTTCTTCAGGATTAATGTGCCGTATAATCTTGAGTTGGTTTTAAGGAGATGCTGTTCACTTAGAGACTGATGCTATATAGATTGGATGGTAATCAGGGCCTCTAAAAAGGCATGCTCATTGTATCTGTCGAGTTGCATATAGTAGCTGACTACTTTACTGTGCCTTATGGAGCTTTGATTGCAATATGCTGTCAAGAGCCAACAGTCCATGCTATTTATTTGGCTTAATGCCAGGTCTGGCTCCTTGATTCCTCAAGAAGTTGCTACCAGCCCAGAGGGGGCAAAACCAATGAGCCATAGGGCATGCTTTTTATTAAAGAGGAGTCAAAGAGCGAAAAGAAACCACATCAGCTGCTGTCAATACCGAGCTAGTGCCAGAAACCCCAAGGCTACTACTGTTGCAGAACAACTGCCAAGCACTATAAATCTGAGATTTACTGTGACGCAAAGTTTCCTTAAGAGCTTAATTTCTGAAGCTACTGTATTACTTTTCTCAAAGTGCTGTATTTTTAGGTAAAATCCACTTGAGGGAGTGAGGGTTAAGATATAAGTGTGAGTTTGATGAATGAAAGAGCTGCGCTGTGTGTGGGTTCTTGGCGAGTAGCCATGTCTTTGGGGATCATAGAAATTATTGATGACACAGAACACTCGTATGCCCTTAGCCTGTACAGCTGATTCAACATGGAAAGTAATGCTGTCTAAAGAGGAAAAGTTTTGCATTGTATTAAAGCAGTCGAGGTTTGAATCTATATTCCTTTCTCCTTTAAAATTTTCTTTCTCTTTTTCCTCCTTTTCTCCTTTTTTTCTTTTCTTTCTTGCATTTGTTAGGAACATATACTATTTAAAAAGCCTTTTTCTTTTATGCAATTATAGGTAAATAATACTTTTGCTGAATGATTGTTTTCTTACTTTCAAATTCAGAACTGTTTTACAGAAATGAAATGGAAATAAAGGAAACAAGAAGGAAAGCATCTCCCTTTCCCGTGCCCCCTCCCTCCCCAATTTTACTTCCTTAATTGATACTAGGCATATTTTTAAATAGAATTTTGCTGTGGCTTATTGCACACAAAAATGAACAGAGAACTTGTTTTAGATAGGTTCCTAAACAAAAAGAAATTAACTTATTTCAGTGCTTTTAGCATATTAAAATGGCCTAAAGTAATTATACTGTGTATTCAACTTTTTCTTATTTCAGGCAAATGGAATTAAAATTGGCCCTCAACATGCTGCTACTAATGCAACACTTGCAGGCAATCAGGGAGGACAACAAGCTGGTGGAGGCTGCTGTTGAGCCTATTTTTACTTTCTGGCTACCTGAATGGGGCCTACTAACTTGTTCTTTCACCCTCCCCCACTCCATCTCAACTGACACATGAAACTATTGTAAGTTGGTTTCATGTTGCAGGAGAAGACTTTATCCTTCAAATTCTTGTATAACTTTGAATAAATGGTTAATGTTCACTTAAGAGACAGATTTTGGAGATTGTATTCATATCTATTTACATTTGCTTTCTAGGTCAATTGATGTGATTATTTTTGTTAAATGTTGTCTTGTGCCCTTGACTACGAACTGAATTGTATTAAACACTATGAAGTCATCTGAGTATTTTAATCAGTTTGTGTAGTTAGGTTTCCCAGCTACTGTGGTTACCTAATGTTTAATATCGTAGAGCTGTCCTCAAGTTTTTGTCAATTTTCAAGGCTATAAAGAGAAGCAGAAAGGACTCTTTTAATTCTGTATTTATCATTTACTTTCTGTATATATAGTTTAATAACCTGCTTGGGTGTATTTGCCAAGCTAGAATTCTTTAATGCATTTGCATAAATTCTATACTACTTAGAGCTTGAAAACTACAGGAGCATTATTAGAAATTGCTTGGACGCTGAATTTTAAACCTTTTTGACATTGTTAGCATGTTTATCTTCTGTCATTATCCTGAAGTCCAAGAAAAAAATGCTTAATGTATATTACTAGAGGCTACATGTGTGTTACCTATTTTAATGCCAAATGTTTGCTGTTTGTTCACAATTTCCACAGCACCTCTTCAAAAACAGATTAGCTGTTTGCCTTAATGAATACTGTAGGTAAAAACTGAGAACGATGAATGAAAAATACAGGAGGAATTGATACCCATTTAAAGTGGCACATTATGAAGATTTTGATTTTGATTTTTTTTTTTTAAATAATGTTGTTTCCCCACCCCTTGTTTACACTTTATTTCTAGGTATATTTTTCATGCAGGACAGTTGGGGGGTGTTATTTTTGGGGGGTTGTTTTTCCAACCTAGATGTACAGTGACTGTGTAAAGTTTTTCTTTTAGTGAAAACTTGTAATCCTAAATATCTGGTAAGCATCTTGTCTATTGTGAAGGGGGGTGTGACAATAAAATCTGCCAAATGGAAAATCTTGATAAAAGCCAAAACTGGAAATGGTTTGGTACTTATTATGGTGGTGATGTAAGGATGAGAGGGAGAGGTGGTACTCATAATGACATGGCTAAAACAGTGCAAAATAAAATCCTCTGTTTAAGTATTATATTTGTTTAAAGTGCAGAATATTCAATGTCAGTTTGACTGCAAATGAACAAAAATGAACTTCAAATTCTTCATATTTCTATCTAATTCATAAATAAAGGGGTGACATTAGATCATGATCTGTATGTCTCCCTGAAGAAATGAATTTTAACTACAGTTTTGTCTTACTGGACCAACTGAGACAGATTTGGGGGACATAGATTCCTCTCTCATTTCATCTCACTTGACAGTCAAGCTACAAGGGGGAGCATTGACTTCAGAAGTGAATAAACCTTAATTTAAGAAGTGTAACATAGCGATGGGTCTGAGATTAAATAAAGTTTTAAAAATATTTGGGGTCTTTTGCTCTTTTTGTAGAGGAAGTTTATCCATAGGCACAAATAGTACCAATATCTTTCTTGTCCCTTTAGGATTGTAAAAGAATTAAAATTGCAGTTTACACTACATTATATCCTTCAACTGCATTCTCAACTAGTTAAGCTTTTGAGACGTGTACCTGCACACTTATACCACAGTTATGAATTTTAATTGTTTATAATATACCACACTTTGCAATCAAAGCCACGTAAAACATTAGGCATTTATAAAGCAGAAAAAGAAAGTGTTAACCTTCTAACCTTAGTGTAGAAGCTTGAAGATGATTATTGTAGCCTCTTGAGTCCATTCTAATGAAGTATTTTTGGATAATGGAGGTATTCAGTGAGATGCCTAAGTGATCTCATGACATTTAAGAATGAAAAACAGGTCTGCTTGGCAGTCTACCACAGCTTGCCTACCCTGCTTGAGCTAAGTGCATCTGCTTTGGGATGTCAGGGACAGCAGTGCTGCAGAACTAAAGTTATAGTCTTGGGACTCTCTCTAGCAAACCTCAAGCCATTGTGGAAATGGTTCCAACCTTCCTAAGCCATAGCAATTATTAGTATAAAAAGTTTTAAGAATAGGAAATTATTTTTATCTGGCAGATCCATATCCTTAAGGGATGGGGAAGAGAAGCTCACATATTGCGTAAGTGGTAGATTGTGGGTTAGGACTAGAGAAGCCTCTAAGAAATCATGTCAGTTACTGAAAGGACTCATTTTAGAAAATCGGAGACATAGTCATGCTGTTACAGCAGAGAACCGACCTTACCTTTTCAGACTAGTGCTATAATTACATTACATTTCAAAAGTCTGCTACTTCATTCCTCCACAGCAGAAGGCATATTGGCATGGTCAAAGTTGAGATTTTATTCTAAAATCAGCAGTGTTGAAGGACGCACTGCTTACAGCCTGTTATCTGAATACGCCAGTACTTGCAAGGAGGAGCTAATGCAAAACCAATGTTACTTTCTCCCAGGCGTCATTTTTTGCCTGCTTTAGAAACCAGGTTAGCGTGAATGTAATGCTTGAAGCAAATCCTTTACAAGTTCTAATATCCTATATGTATCTGTTTTAAGTGAAAGGAGCAATCACTTTTTACATAATTCACTGGTATAGTTATCACACATATTATTCCACCGTGTTTCCTTACCACAGTTGTAGTAATCCTATATTTCCGGTTAGTTATGCAACTTCAGTTACACCTTAATGACTGTGGTAATATCTAGTTTCTTTTTGTTGCATTTTAGATGCCCTAACTGATTGCATTTTTATGGCCAAGGAATTACTTGTTGGCCATGGAATTTGAATATTTCATTGCACACAAGAGACCAGAGCAGCTGCTGTGTATAAAAAAACTACTACCAACAATAGAAAAGTCATATCAAGGTGTATCATCATGCATGTTGTTGTGATCTCCCTCTGCTTACTTGCAGTAAGCGATAAAAATATAACTGTTGAACAAAAATGGTAAACTTAGAGTGATGTGTTCTCAAGTGTTTGGTTTTTTTTTAAGATTCTCTATATATCATTTCTAGGGAAATTCCAGAAGATTGGTTACTGCTTTCACAATAATCTGATAAATTCTTTTGGTGAAAACTTGTAATCCTAAATATATGGTAAGCATCTTGTCTATTGTAGAAGGGGGTTATCTACGCAATAAGACTGAGAAACTCAGTCTTCTCTCAAAGGTTTTACACTAGTGTAATTCCATAGGTTTCAGTAATTACGGTTCTCATAAATGTTGAGATCAGATTAAAATTTCTAGTCTGGTAAAGGTAGCATTTTTGCCTGGCCACTGTAAGCGACACTGTCTTGGTCTTGTTGGAGTAGAGCACTATATAAATGTGTGAACAGATCACTTACTGAATTGCTAAGAAAAGAAATTGGCTGAGGTTACTCAAAATAATTTATTCCACATGTACACATATTTGCTTGTAAAATGATATCTGTGTAATCTGGATTTGGGGGGTTTAAACAAGCAAAAAAAATAAAGTTGGAAATTGTGAATGTTGCAAGTATCTTGAAAATCAGTTGACTGAATTTTCTGGACCCCTACAGTTTGCTTTCAAAAGAGTTAAGTATGATGTACAAGGGAAAACATACGACTTTATTAGAAATATTATGTAACCTTACACAAAGTCATGGCATTTTCCCCCCATTGGCACATGCTACTCATGTTCTCTTGTTGCTATAATGTAGTTCATCAGTAGATACTGTCATAAGACTTACTATCAATATTTAATAGCTCTTGCTTTTAGTAAACTGTATACAACTGTATATAAGAACATTTTCTCAACAGATTTATTTTACTTTGAAAATGCTGAAACCTGTGACTTGCACATTTTCCCAAAAAGTTGCTTATAAACTACTTAATATCTGTTTAAACTTTGCAGGGGTGAATGTTGTTTCTCTCTTCATACAGTTCAGTAGCTATTCATTGTTATGTGGAAAGTTAGAGAAGCATAATACTGGAAATCCCATTATCTTAAAAAAAAAATAAAATAAAATACAGGGTGGTGCACATGGCTGCAGCGTGTGCTGCCTAAAACCAGAGCCTGGCCAGCCAGAGCTACACTCAGGTGCCAGCCAGGCTCCATGCACCCAGATTGCCACTGCTACAGCCCCAAGAGGCCATTAGGATCCTGGGTAAGGCCTGGCCCCAGCCTCTCCTACCCCACCCGGGGCAATTTGCTGCATGTCAGAGCGCATGTGCAGGGGCAACTGCACAACTATATGCTGCCGCTACTTATCCCCAGAGAAATGCACATGCACACTTGTGGGAATGTGCCATGGGAGTCTTCCCCCCTGGAGAGTGGGAGTAGAGCAGTGACTGCTTCCCAAGCCTTTCCCAGACTTGGGATCACCTCACTAGGTGAAGGTGCAGAGAGCTGGGGAGAAGGTGACAGCTGTAGCTGAATGTCTTTAATGCTCCTGTTCCTGTGGCCGTTTCTGAGACATTTCCACTGGTAGAAATAGATAGCCGTGAAGAGGCATTCATGACAAAGTGCTTTTTTGCGTGGCACTTAGTTCTGGTTTCAATCCATTTGTAATGGAGAGTAAAATCAAACTTTTTAAAAGAAATTTACATTTAGGTATGTGTTTAAAATATGTATTTGTAGGCTGTAGTGATGACAGTACAGCTCTGATCACTTGCAACTAATATCTTACTTCATTCCCAAGATCCAGCTCTTCCATGTGATTTTAATTTGTAAATGATGTGGCTTCCCAGTTCTTGTTACCTCCATCTGAAGGCACATGGTTGATATTTTAAAAGTACTGTCATGTTAGTTTTAGGCCAAAAACAACCCATTCTTGTCCATAGTAATCTTGAACTATGGAAGTTGGAGCAACAAACCCACACCTAAAGATCTATTATCCTGGATTCCAATTTCTTTTGCAGAACACTAGCTTAGTTATAATTTAAATTGAAAGTGAGAGAGAAGAGAAATCTAAATAAATTGAGTTACCGTTTTCTCCTAGAAAATGGTTGGAAAATTTGATTTATGCCAGAAGCTTTTTAATTCAAATGAGTAGGTACCTTAGCCTCTCTCAGGCCAGGTACAGACATTACACTTTAACTGATATAAGTGATCAGAAACTGGTCTATACCTGTAACAGAACAGAAGTTCAGTGCACATAGACTGGTTTAAAAATGGCAGAACCTGGTCTAAGATTTGCTGCCCCCCCCCCCGGTGAATGTGTGTTCTGTTTTCTACTGATCTAAACCACACTACTTACAGAAACTTGCATCGATTCCACCTCTGATGTTTTGATGTTTGTACCTAGCTGCAATGTCTCTCTTCCATTCTTGTTGGATGTAGAGGAGACGAGCCAGTTTCTTCTCTCATATTTTCTGTCCTGTTCCTTGTCTTTATTCTGTTCTTACTTTTCTTTCTGTCTCTGGTCTGCCGCTCCATTTCCCTCCTGTTTCTTTACCATCCAAAAAGAAAATAAATTCTTTATCTTGCCTTGCAATTCAAGAGCTTTTGTCCTACTTGTATTCCTCTACCTCTGCTTCCAGTTCTGCAGTGCTTCTGAGAAATGTACTTTCTGTGTGATTTATTAAAAATTAATACCGATGTTCAGGAGATGGAGGTACCAAAACTAGCTGATTCACATGAGTCAGGCAGCTGGAATCCCACCACCCAAAATAAGTGTTCTGTAACTTTACCACTAGAGATTAATTAATTATACACACAATTGTATGGAATATACCCTATATTCTAATAAAAATGGGGAGAAGGGAATTAATGCACTTCTCTCTTCCTAGTCCTGTTACAGATGAAGCATTGCCTAGGTTTGTTTCCTTTGCATATCATTGTTTACGTGGAGAGATTTTCTTCTATTTAGTTTTTTCATGTCAGCGATGGAAATATCATGGTTTTGTTTGAGTTTTTAGTGTAGGCTTTTACTAAATATTAGTTGTAAAGGATTATACATAAAACTATAAACACCTATGCTATTCTTAGAAAGTTCTTATTTCCATTGGTCCCTGTTAAATTACAGTTCATCTGCCATATAGCTACACTGTAACTTCAACAGTATACAATAGTAATTTGTTTTATTATGGTACTGAAATCTCAGTTTGTAAATAATCCATGTAGCTGCTGTATAAATAGCTGATGAAATGTCTTTACTAGGGTGCTCCATATGAAAGAAACCACAACATTAGGTAATAAAAACTAGTAACAGAATATAACAAAACCAAGACCATGACAAAAAGCAGCATGTTGAACGGATCTATCGCTTTTATTCTTAGGACAGATTTTATTATTTTTGGAGCTATTACAAGACCTATGTTAAATATTGTGGCTGATAAGAGGAAACAGACTCTTGGCAAACGTGGAAAACCAATTACAGCATATTAGCCCTTCCTTCACTGGAGGGGGGTAGGATAAATCAGAAGTTCATTCCCTGCTTTCCCAGATGAAAAGTGTTCCTGCTCAGTTTGACGATTTTATTGCAGGTAATC